TGTAAAGATTGACATTTTTGTGGAGACTGTAGTAATTTAGTTGTTGAATTCATGAGTCGCTTTAAGCTAGACCATCATGGAAAACCTGAAAGCACTGGACGGCCGTTTCTTTCTTATCATTGCGTATCCACGATCTTGCACACGTGATCCGAACCCAGGCACATCGGTCTCGCGTGCGAACGCTTTACCTCTAGACCAGTGTTTCCAGGCTTCCCACAGTGGTCTAGCTTTAATCAACTATCAAGGGACTGCCTGCTTGATAATCTGGGCTACCTGTTCCTGCCATCTTGGTATTTCAACAAGTTATCTATTTTTGTTTGTTTTAATGTATCACTATGTTTATTAATCGCATAAACTATTGTGCTGCGTTTCTGAAAAGTGTACAACCTTTCGTTGTCAAAGTTACAAAAAACTCAATAAGAGACAATGTGGTTGCTGGCAATATACAACGAAAAGAATGCACATTATTCAGATGTTCATTTACTGAACTGCTAACATCTAACTGGCGATCACTCAATATTTATCGCCAGGACCGACCAAGAGGAAAGAAACGGAAACTTGTTGAAATAATTTACGCTGAGAATTCTATATTGTACCAAAAATATAATATTGAATAAAGATGATAATAATAATAATAATAATAATAATAATAACTCATGAACTCAACCATTACATCACTAAAATCTCCCCAAAAACCCTCAATTATTATTAATGGCTTTATTCGATATTATATTTTGGCACAATCTAGAATCCTCATCACAAAATAATAATCATCATGTGCTCACTAGTGACTTGCTTCAAGAGGTATTTCCTGGAGTTCTATTGAGGAGCTTTGACCAGTGGAGTTTAACCGTATCTGTTATGAGACAGTTACTCTCTGGAAATAATAGTTGGACGGTGGCGCGATTTCGTGGATTGGTTGAAGTTACATATTAACACCATTGGATGCGGAGTCAGTAGTCTAGAAGTTAATTGTTCACGATTGAGACTTAAGGACCTGGGTCCGATTCCCAAGTGCAGGACCGTGGATGCTCACTGTTGAGGAGTCTCATATTAGAACGAAAGGGCTATTTAGTGTTTTCAGGTTTTCCAAGAATGAAAAACAATTCAGCAATGCACATTTGCTAGCTTTCCTTCTGATGTAAATTACTGATAAAATTTATCGGTAATTTGAACAAATATCCTTATTCAACTACTCAAGCATGTATTGAAAAAGTGAAATAATATCTTCCTTTATTATTTTCTTATTTGTAGACTAACGAAATAAAGTAACTACATTTGTGGGCGTTCTGATGGAAGAATTATTCTCTATTGAGAATTATCAGACTCACTGAACTAAATTTGTAGTAATCATACAGTGTATCTAATGCATTGTGGCTATTTGTATACAAGTTATTATCTATAAACTCTAATTGGTTAAGTTCAAATACCACCATCTACATTAACTTCCCAGCTAATCTGAACCAGCTTGGATTAATATTATTTATATGACCAAGGAAGTCTCCTTTCGACTGGTTTGACGGTCTGTACTTCTACCTGTGAAGCGTTTAAATTATGGACGGCAAATATTATAACAATAAGCATTTGGTTGAAATATTCTTTAAATTCAATACTGAAACAATAATATTGTAATCCGATGTTATTTTATTTATAACTTTTATCATGATAGCCGGTTGTTGTTCATTTTATCAACCTCTACTAACGCATGTATATTCTCAACATTAGCCTTATGTAAAAGTTTTAGCGTACTTTAATTAAGGTCAACAAAACATCGTAAGATATTCATTTCGTCCTGATCAAATTTCATCAAATGGATGTACTTGTAAATATTGAAACTGTTAGAAACAAAGAACTAATATTTAATTATTTACCTTTCCTTTATGCAGTAATCACGAATACTATTTAGAGTTTATGATGGGTATTAGAAAAGTTTATTATCGTTTTGTTTTAACTTAAAAACTATTTTTCAATGTCTTTTTATATGATGGAATATTGCAAATATAGTTTGTCAGTGTTTTAAAAAATTAATATCATTTTTATAAGTAGCGATTCAGAACTGAAAAAGAAAACTCTCGTTAGACAAAAATATCCTGTTGTTTTGATAAATCTATTAACAGTCTATAATACACACATTCTTTTATAATCTATATTATATTGAAATGATTTTAATTTAAACAAAAATGTTAACTGATCCCAAAACTGACAGAGTTATCTGCACATTTACCCTTAGGTACATGTTTAGTAGAAATTTCAAATAATAATATTATATATCAAACTGACTTTTATAGATACCTGCTGTTTCTATTCTACTTTCTATAAATTAAAAGTACTTCTTTTACGTAAAAATGTATTTAGAAATTAAGAAACATCAAATTGTCCATCGGTTACGTGCTTAATTCAAATTGAGCCTACTTAGAGCATGATATGAAACTGCATACACGTATAATTTTTTTGCATTTTTTTAATATACATTCCGTAATAATTTGCTAAGCAGATTTAGATTGACTGTTTATGTGTCAATGACTTAACCAAATAAGGTAAATCTTAAGTAATCGATAAATTCACCGTAGGTTACTTAGTACTAACACGTGATTAGGCAAAACTTGACAGTCTGATAAATCATGAATTAGTTTAATCCGTTTATTTAATATTATTTTCATAGTATACACTAGATAAAACACGTAATCCAGTGAGGATAAATAATGATACTACTACTAATAATAATACTAATACTAAAAACAATAATGAAGCTAATGGAAGGATGAGCTTAACAGATTGACAGATGAAATATTTAGGTATTCTATAGCTTTTAAAACTTTACATTTTATTTGATTATATAATCTGTGAATGGATGAGTGTAAGTCAAGCTGGGAATTCAGTAGTAGTTAGATTTACAGACATATATATCAATTTCACATATTTTCGTATTACTGCATTCACTAACCACAGCATTCAAATGAACACTATCAAACTAATTTAATATTGTAATAATTAGTTAAGACTGAAAGAGATAAATAGGTTATGTGTCGTTTTGCATTTTATCTCCTAATACTCGAACATTTAGTTTCTTTGATAATAGAACATCAAACGTATGATTATACCTGATTTAAAACTGACAAGTTAGTTTCGTTAGCATTATGTTTAAAGATTGTAAACTGTCAGAAATAATGAATAATCTACTAAATATATTTCCTTAGATCAAACGTATGCGTTTTAAAGAAAAATATTCTAACACTGTACCATTCTAACTAAATTTCTGGTCTATCACTTGATTCAGTTGTTTTGAATAAACTTGTTATGATAAATACTTGTGATACAATAAGTCATAAACAACATAGAATTTTGAAAAAAAACAAGGAAGAGAAAAATATGGAAAATAAAAATCAAGAACTATTATTCATACTAACGATATGAATAGAGGTGAATACTAAATGTATCTATCCTAGTGAGATCAAAACGTTGAACTTAAATGTGATTGCGTTCTGATGCACTGTTTTTGTCTGTTGACGTGAAGAAAGTTATCGTAAACATTATCACTAAAAATTCTCAGAAGACTGTAGTTGTCACTGATTCAAATGAAAGTATATCCTTAGCGTACTTCGCCTAATAAAAATGAAAGAGTCAGTCGGTCCTTACTATATCATGCAAAGAAACTGTTGCATTTTAGAGCTTATTCATTGAAAACGTTAATGGAAGCGTGCAAAAAGAACTGTTGTACTAAACACCTCTCAACGTCACCAGCATTGACAATAGTGAGCTATAAGATTTCACTCAATAGCTTCCGAGTAAAGAGACTCCTTCTAGACATTAACTGTGATAAACGCTGTAGCAGGAAATCTTGAATAATTGGATCGAATAATGCAGACAACTTAAGAAGTAATTTATGTTTGGTGTTGCAGAACATTTTGAATAGCAAGATATATATTCAGCACATTCAAGACCTGGTCATAAACTAGCCTATCTTCCTTGAATTCGCTATTCTAACTCCTCATTTAGGTCTCGGATGGCTTTGAAAGCTAATATTGTGGGCACCATACTAGTCTAAGCAGTCCATCTTAGGTAGTCGCAGGCCTATTACAGTCAAGACCGATCAAATGCTTTCTTATTCTCTAATGTTATTTATTATTGTTTGTAAAGTTAACAGGTTCTGTGGTAGCTTCTGTTGATCTGGTAAGCTCAGGACAAACCAGTCAGTGCATAACTATGCTTTCGCTCGAAAAATTACAATACTATAGACCAGTAAGAAACCCGGATTAATCTTGGACTTTTTGGTTTGATCTCATGGAATAATTAATTTCAACTTTAGTTTTGAAGTGGACTGACGAACTGAGGTAGATGAACCAAAATATCACATAATCTTAATGAACTTTATAAGTTTATATAATAGAATCTCTTATCTTTTTGATGACGAAAGTTATTCATTAGCACAATATTAATTGTCACTGTATAACACACATTAAAACTAAACTCTTGGAATATTTTGTTTACAGGTAGTTGAAAGTATTTGACAAGAAACGTTTAGACCTACATTTCATCATGGTTGACACTTGTCAGTAATATGTACCTGCCGTAATCTAGAAGCAGGTTATTAACCCTATTAAAATAAATTAATATCCTCCAGTTTCGTAATCTAAGACGGCACTACTATGCATTACCGGTAACTGAAGGTCCGTGCTGACTACCTATCAGCCAATGTAGTTTGTAATACATTTAGATTGGAAGATAAATTTGTTTCGAAAGAATTCTCTCATTTACTTAATATTCATTTAATAAATTATGAGTGTATTCCTTTGAAACGGAACATGTTCAAGTCATGTCTGATACAGTGAAATCAGAAATTAATATGTTTTAGTCAGAAAACTCACCTTAGTCATGTTGAAAATAATATAATAAATGAATTTATAAAATTTTAAAAATGATTATTAAGAAATCCAGTCTCAAAAATCACAATCATTTGATTAACATCTACATTTAAATAAAATTTTCTCTAGTTAACTTACCAACATACTGTCTTACTCCAATAACAGCTATAAAAATAATCAACAATCCACCAGTAAATTGATAATTTAATTGATCCACAAAATCAACTCCATCACCTCCGTATGGAGTTTCAAATACTTTACCAATTCTTAATACAGTATCCGGATTCATATGATGAATAAATTAAAATATATTAAATTATGTTAACATGACAATTAAAAAGAAACTATTCATACAAATTGTTTATACACAAATCAAATATGATAAAGTTTTAATTGTTATAAATAAATGAAACTAATATCCTTTGATTTTGTTTTGTTTTTGCTTTTTTTTTGTTTCCCTTAAATAATATTCATAATCATAATAATAATGTTTCTAAAAAGGTGGTCCAATAATTTCCATACTCCTAAGTTTTTGTTGTTTTCTTTGTTTAAATTGTATAATGAAATAGACTGTTAATAATAAGAATATAAATGAAAAATTTTGAAACATTTCAATTCTAAATAAAACAGCCTATTGATATATACATAATAGTACATAATAATAATAATAATAATATTATTATTATTATTATTATTAGTGGGTAATCTCTCTAATAAACTATATACTAGAAGAATTTTTTCTAGAAAAAAAGAACAAAAAAGAAATAATGATTTATTTGGTTCAATGTGTTCAATGGGAAATTATTTTAAATTTTATTCTTTAAAATTCATTCTTTTATTAATAATAATAATAATAATAATCATAAATAATTGGGATTTTTTTCTTCATTATATAAAATGAATTTTCAAGGAGCGGTATAATAATAAATTGAATCATTGAAATAGATAGATATGTGAATAGATCAATATGCATACTCTTTAATTCTAAGTAGAAATTATAATATGAATATCATTTTGTTCTATTATAAACTACTTTATAAATGAATGAGCAATATATTCATTGTATATATATAAATTGTAATGATTTATTTTGTTAATGAATTGATGTGTTAAGTGTATTTATTCAATGAATTGTCCCAGATGCTTACAAGTTGAACAGTGTAGTACCTTCTTCTAATATATATACATAAATATGGTTACATATATATAATCATTATAGGTAAGCATTTATTAGAAGAAAATTGTTTTTTTAAAAATGACATTATAGAAATATTAGTCATTTGAATGATATACATATGTATGTATATACCTATTGATATGGATACAATTTTATTGTGATTTAGATTAATCAACAGTGATAGTGTTGTACACGTTTAGAATGAATGAATCTTCGTTTTTTTATATATATATTTGTTAAGTATACCAATTAAATAGGTTATGCTCTCTGTTATCTGTGCAAAATTTTTCTTAGTAAGATTTAATATATATGTGTATATATATATTGACAACATTGTCAACGACAACCAGAATAAGAAGAAGAGAAGGAAGAAAGAGGAGTACAATTAGAAAGAAAAAGACAAACAACAGTATAAAAAAAGTACGGGTAGGTGGGATGAACAGAAGGAAGAAGTGAAAACATATAGTTAACCACCAATATTAAACTAACCAATCAATTAACTAATACTAGCTTATAATTTACTAACAAATAAAAATCAGTGCATATCGATAGACTTGAAAACACCTTTAGGAATAGAAAAAAAATAAGTATTAACCGCACAGTATCACTTCTACTGACCGATAACTTTTACTGTAATGAGAGAGAGAGAGAAGAAATAAAAGAGAAACACAGAGAGTGAGAGAACGAGAGAAATCTTAGTCTGTTTATCTTCAATCCTATAAAGCTGAATATTTGTTTCACATAAACACACATCTGTAATTCTTTTGAATACTATACTATACTATCCCTATTTGTCTCTCTTACGCTTTGCGTTCATATGTAAATATGACGTCACATGATCGAAGACTGACAGACACAAAATGTATGGGCAGTTACAATTTGTAGCTTGTTATACAACAGTACAGACAAATTGTACTAGTACACATACATCCATTTATTTGACTACTAATATAGTATTTAAACAAGTCACTATATATTCATGTATATTTAGTAAACCCTAGAAGCAGTTTCCTAGTTTTATTTCCCCAATAATAGAGTGTTATATTGTTTCACCCTATTAGCATTCATTTTGACAAATGTAAAGTTATCAAAAGGTAAGAAAGATTGAAAGTAAATAGTACTATATCAATTGTCCATTTATTTTTCATGACACACAATTATCATTGACAATTACTTAAGTACAGCAAACTTAAAAAATTTTCATTACATTATTAGTAGAATGATAAATCAACAGAAATATAGTGCATTACTGTAAATTGTTTGAAAAATAAAGCTTTCAACCTATGTCAAGAGTTAAATAAAATATCATGAATTAAAAGGAATTAAAATTGAGGTGGTTAATATTGAACAGGCTTTGAAACATAAAAGAGATCATCGAATTCAAAAACTGATCTAAGTTAGATAACTCTTGAAAACCAGGTGTGATTATTTATGATGCCATGAAAAGGAATCGAGTCCATCATCTTCAGTCTCACGCACGAATGCTTGTCATCCAGACTACTGAGTCAGCATCCAATGGTGCACAAACCTAACTTCAATCAATGTACGATAGTGAGCGATCCCATTGGGCACGAACATTATTGTGACGAAGTTCAACGATCTCTGGAAATTATCATGCATTCACTTGTGACTAGCTTCGAGAAGAAATTTCCAGAGTTCTGTTGAGAAGCCATGACCAGTAGAGCTAATCCGTGTCGGGTGTGAGGCAGTTATTCACTGAAGACAATGAAAGATTGTCACTCACTATCGTAACTTGATTGAAGTTAGGCTTGTACACCACTGGATGGTGACTCAGTAGTCTGGATGACAAGTATTCACGCGTCAGACCGAAGGTAGTGGACTCGATTTTTTGCACGGGATCATAGATGCGGATATCTATGGAGTCCCTTGCAAGAACGAATCGGTCGTACAGTACTTTCAGGTTTTCAATAGTTATTTGACTTAAAATGTTTGGTGATTTTAATGAAATTCAACAATTTTCAAAACCCGTTACTGACGATAATAAGAGGTCAGTTAAAATGTGTTGGACGTATTTTATTTATATATTTACTCATTGAAGCATCTCGTGTCTTGGGACTCATACTTCCTACAAAATAGAGACTAGTGTGAAAATTTTATTCAACACTATTAGTTTTTTGCAACTGAATTACCTGACATGATACTGCAAAGAAAGTCTGCTAAAAGAATATATTAAAGTGAAAGCTAAATTATATACATGTTAAGAGATTATTGAAAACCAGATATGCACTGTTGGAAGTGCTATAAAATTCGATATTATTTGAAACCACTGAATAATCTTTAAAAAAATCGAAATTAACCATGATTCAAATTAATCATAGTCAATTTGGAAAGAGATTTCATCTATTTTTCACAAAAATCAGTAGTAAATATTTATTGACGGTTTTGTAGAGATTAATTAAAGTACATTTATGTCGCAGATTTCTATTAGCTGAATAGCCACTGGAAATCAAACAGTACCTAATAGCTATTTCATCCTAGTGCGTGAATAGCTAATAGTGTGCATTCACAATCGTAACATGATTTATAACTTTCAAATATCTAGTACCTATCCATGACAGAATGTAATAATTCATAAGAATGACGATGAAAATTTAACTAATAATGAATATAAAGACTGTGTTTTAACGTTAATTTCATCATATGATGAGATCAGCTTAGTGGCCAATCAACGGTATATCTTTGATAGACTGAGTGTAAACCCAACGATGTACATTTTTGAATTTAATTAACTCACACTATAGCTCAGTTAGAAGCCGGCACCATAAATGATTAACTTCTGTTAGATAGTGGTTGGAGGTGTTCGGCAAAAAACCTTGGATATCGGGTTCGTACTACTTGGTACTGGTCATAGAGATGTACCTGTAATCTTGAGAGGAGTAGTGCTCTCTGGCAAATCATCCCGTACCACTCAGCTTTTCAGTCAGAGATGTTGTTGCTGAGCTGGTCATTACTCAATAATCAAACAGTTGTATATACATCTCAGTTCAATGGGAGCTCTACCATGGTTCAAATAACTCAGTGGTAACACCTTAAACTGAAAACCTTATTAGATCCACTAAAGAGCGCAACTCGCCTCAAGATTACAGGTATATCTTGATGAGAAACGTATCTCAAAGCTAGCTGCTTATGATTATGCAGATTGTTTATTTAGGTAATTCTATTTAAGCATATTGAATATGGACGGTGAATTATAAAATACCGTTAAGTGACATTTTAATCCGCTCCTTACTAACTGAACATACATTCTCAAATTTACTTTAATAGTATATGATTAAGGTGACATATGTCGAATGGAATGCTTAATCCTCCCAACAAGAACAGACAGCAAATAATGTAAAATGAAAAAGTTTTTTTTATAAAAGCATTCTAAACTATAAACAGTAGTATCCCACATTTCTAGACAAATCTAATTATAACAAATTTTTTTTAAAATCACTTGATTAACTGAGTGTAAAATATGTTTTACTATTTTACACAAATTTATGTGATAACTGTTAAAGTCTAGAACTGTTTTTATTATTATTATTATTATTATTATTACGATTATATTTTTTCCACAATATAGAATTCTCGGCACAAAGTATTTCAACAAGTTTCCGTTTCTTACTTCTTGATCGATATTGACGATAAATACTGAGTGATCGCTTGTTAGATATTAGCATTTCAGAAGTCGACATCTGAATAATATTCATTCTTTTTAGTGCACATTGCCAGCCATCATGATGTCTCCGATTGTAAATTTTTGTAACTTGTACAACGAAATGTCATGAACTTTTCACAAACACACCTGAATAGTTTATGCAATTAATTGACATAATGATCTGTTAAAACAAACAATAGAGCATTTAACTTGTTGAAACATCAAGATGGCCGGAACAGGTAGTCTAGATATTCAAGCAGGCCGCCTGGATGTACGTTACTGAGAAAACTACTGAAAACAAATATCTTGATGATTATGTGTTTTCCATTAATTTAAGCTTTCCTAAGTATAATCTATATATGTTTTACATGTGTTTGATGACTGTAACTGATAGTGAACATTGAACATCAGTTTCAATATTACTTATTAACATTCAAGATTTGTTGAATTGATTTTTTTACTTGTCAGAAATATCCCCAAAAATGAAGGTCACTATAATAACATTATTTGAAAACCAGCAGCTCTCTTAATTTTGGCTCATAAATCTACAGAATATTAGCAAAGACGGTGTTAATCTAAAATATAGATTTTTATAAGAAATCTTTTACTCTTAGTCCTACTTTACATTTGTTTATTACCTGAGAGTAACATTTAATCTATTTTGTCTGAAAAGGTTTGAATTCCACCATCGTTGACGTCGATAATTACAATTAATTAGTCTCTCCTGTGAGGACTACCTTGGTATTGACATTAAGTTATCCGCTTTGTTTAATACTTGTGTTTGAAAAAAAAAAGAACCATTGCCATTTCTACGACGACGAGTAACAACACAAAAACT